TGGAGGAATTCGGTGCTATTTGTTCTGCCACAATTTCATTTTGGCAAACAAAGGCTAGGCCAACGTAGTTATCCGACTTCGATCCATCTGTATAAATAGGGATTAAATTCCTGTCACAATGTTGAATTTGTGCGAAGTGCTGTCTATAGACGCAGTCTGGCGTGGTTTCTTTGGGGAACTGCTTTAAGCTTAAATCAACATCTATCGCTGGAATTGACCAAGGTGGAATACTATTAACCTCAACCTGTGAGATGTTGCATGTGTTAAGGTCAATTGTGCTGCTTACATTCTCCATTCTTATGATGAATGTGGGGACACTACTTCTCCGAGCTTCAAATAACCTTTTCAGCTGAGTATCTGATACTGTACAATCAACTGAAGGTTTAGTATGCGATTTCTGTTTTATATAATAGAAAAGAGACAACTGTTCTCTCCTGAGAGATAGTGGAGGCTCATAAGCATCCACATACAAACTTTGGACAGGAGAAGTTTGAAATGCACCAGTGCACAAACGTAATGCTTGATGGTGGATTGGATCCAGCATCCGAAGAGTAGATTCTCGCGCAGAGCCATAAACAATGCATCCGTAATCCAGCTTTGAGCGGACAAGGGCCCTGTAAATCCTGAGCATAGAAACTTTGTCTGCTCCCCAGGATAAGCAGCACAGTACCTTTAAAAGGTTCAAGGATTTTAAACATCTACTCTTCAAATAGTGCAAGTGCGGTAAAAACGTCAGTTTGGAATCAAATATGACTCCCAAGAACTTCGTCTCATTGACCATTGGGATTTTAAACCCATTTAGGTAAATTTCAGGATCAGAGTGCAAACCACGCCTTTGGCAAAAGTGGATGCACGAGGTCTTCTCTATGTTGAAACTAAAACCATTAATCTTTGATCAATGGTCTATGCGATTTAGGGAGGTTTGCAGTTGTCTCTCGATAAAGCTCATGTTGCTAGACTGACAAGAGATCTGAAAGTCATCCACATACAAAGAGTGTTTCACACTAGGGGGAAGACAGTTAGCTATGCTATTAATTTTAATTAGGAACAGAGTCACACTCAAAATAGAACCTTGAGGAACACTTTCTTCTTGTGTGAAGAGCCTAGATAAGGTGTTGCCCATCCTGACATAGAATCTTCGATTCTGTAGGAAGTTTTTTATAAAAATTGGCAAATTACCCCGCAACCCGTATTCGTACAGATCACGGAGTATCCCGTATCGCCAACAGTGATCATAGGCCTTCTCTATATCGAAAAATACAGACACTAGGTGCTGTTGTCTAACAAACGCTTCGCGTATAGATGTTTCAAGGTTTACTAAGTTATCAGTGGTACTTCTGTTCCTACGAAAACTACTCTGATGTGGTGAAAAGTATTCATTTTTCTCTAAGAGATACATCAGACGTCTGTTTACCATCCTCTCAAAGAGTTTACACAGGCAACTTGTCAGAGAGATTGGTCTGTAATTAGAGGGATTCATGTGATCTTTACCAGGCTTGGGAATGGGAATAATGATAGATAGCCTCCAAGAGTCAGGAAAAGTATGTTCTGTCCATATTCTGTTAAACAGACACAGGAGATTAGAAAGGGAATTGTTTGACAGATTTTTAATCATGCTGTAGTGGATTTTATCCGGACCTACAGCACTATTCCCCGAGAGATCGCTGTATGTAGTTCTAAGCTGGTGAATGGCACATTATACTCCTCATTAGATGAGGAATGAAAGTTTAAATATTGTTTTTCACTTTCGGCTTTATAAGCCTGAAAATTTCTTGAATACATGATATTGCTGGATGAAATAGAAAATGTTTCACCCAACGTATCAGCAATACCCTGTATATTGCTGATTATTGTGCCATTATTTTCCAGCATGGACAGAGAGTGACAAGCATATTTCCCATTGATTTTATGGATTTTATCCCAGACTGCTTTTGAGCTAGTGGATGATGTTATGCTAGAAACGTACTTCCTCCAAGAATCCCTTTGGCTTTGCCTTCTTGTTCTTCTGGCATTTGCCTTTGCTTTTTGGAAAGCAATCAAATTGTTTGTAGTGGGGTACCTTCTGAAAATCCCCCAAGCTTTCTTTTGTGCTTTAAATGCTGCCTCGCAATTCTGGTTCCACCATGGTTTCGGATGCTTTGGGTATCTTGTTGATGTCTTTCCCATTGTTTTCTCAGCTGCCTGAATAATACACAAAGTGACAACTTCAACTGCATCATTGATATCAGCAGTATTGACCATTTCCTCAGTGATGTTAGCCAAAGAGGAAAATGCAGGCCAATCTGCCGTTTCCAGTTTCCAGCGTGGTGGACGGGCTGTTTCACAGCTTTCTCTGCCTCGGTATTTTAGAAATATTGGGAAGTGGTCACTAGAGAGTGGATTAGATCCAACCTCCCATGTAAATGCTGAAAACAGATTCGGAGTTGCTAATGATAGATCAATGGCAGTGAACGTTCTTGATGGGGCATGGAAGTATGTCACTTCTCCAGTATTAAATAGATACAGTTGATGATTACCTATAAATCTCTCAATGGCTCTGCCTCGACGATTGATGTCGGGACTGCCCCACATAGGATTGTGGCCATTAAAATCACCAAGTAAAAGGAATGGTGTTGGCAGCTGTTCAACCAAGGCATCCAGTTCATTCTCATTGACTCTGACATCTGGTGGCAAGTATATAGAACAAACTGTGACAGTTACTCCAATAGAAATTCTGACTGCCACAGCTTGCAGATCAGTTGTTATTTGTACCAGCAAGGATGGGAAGTGATTGGAAACCAGAATAGCCACACCTCCACTGGCACGGTTGTGGCTATCATCATCCTTGCGGTAGAGATTGAATCCTTTTAAAGTAATTCTTTCTCCAGGTTTCAGATGGGTTTCCTGGAGTGCCACGCAGAGAGATGAGGTAGATGATGTCAAGTGTTTAATGTCAGAGAAGTTGTTGCGGAAACCACGACAGTTCCATTGGATTATTTTATAATCCATTATGTGTTTGAGGCAGCATTCTTTGTGAAGGTATCCCTCTTTAGTTTTACGGCTGATTTGCCTTTTGGAGGTGAAGTTGGTGGTGTCACCTCCTTATTAGTCTCCTCGTCAGAGAAGTCAGAGAACTCACTCATAGACTGAGCCTCTGATCTCTTAGATTTGGAGATGGCTGCTTTTAATTTTTGTTTGTTGAGCGGGTTCTTAGCAGCCTTCTTAGAACCCACGTTTCTTGTTATTACCCCTGTTTTAGGTAGGGGTGTTTTGTTCTTCTTGCTCTCCTTTTCTGCTGTATGTGTAGATGGTATAAGCAAACATTTTTCATGGCGAGTTAGAGATTCATTTGGTGAAATAGAAATGTCTGTCTGAACTCCACATGTCTTTGTGGATTTCAGAACAGCAGCAAATGTCTTCTGTTTCACTTGTGCATTTAAAGTGACCATGCGTCGTGCCTCTGGGTAAGGTATATTATTCACCGTCTTTACCCGCTGAATCTCTTTTTCTGTTTGCCACGTGGGACATTTTCAGGAGTAGGCAGGATGGACCTCTTTGCAGTTGACACAGCATGGAGTGGTTGTACACTCAGTACCCTGGTGGCCTTCAACTCCACACTGTGCACATAAACTTTTGCCTCGACATGTTTAGGAATGTCCAAATCACTGGCATTTAAAGCAACGCAACGGATTTGGAATGTAAAAAAGAACCAGACAGCGCAGATATCCTGCAGTAACAAATGATGGTAATGTTGGCTTTCCGAAAGTAAGAATGAGATGTTTAGTTGGTATCAACTTGCCATCTCGACAAATGGAGATGTGTCAGACAGCAATGACTCCTTGATCTGAAAGACTGATCTGTATATCTGATTCATCTTCAGACATCAGATCAATCTCGGATATCACCCCACGTGATGAGTTTAGACTTCCGTGTGGGGTGACAGTGACTTCCATGTCTCCAAGTGTTTTTGTTGCCAATAGATTTACTGTTTGTTGAGGTGAGGCTGTTTCTACCAGCAGGTCCCCTGACCTCAATTTTTGTATCTTTTTCAAGTGCCCAATGGTTGATTCAAATATTTTTTGAATAAGAAATGGAGAGCATTTTGACATCAGTCGCATGAACTATCAAGTAGGTTGCAGTGATGGAAATGTTGGTTGTTACTGGAGGTAACTTATCCCTGTTTAGTTTTAAATTTTTGGAATCCATATTAGACAAAACAATTCAGCTCCTAGTGACCCCACCCACCATGGGGCTCAACAAGGGGATGCCGTCACATGGGAGACTCCCATAGACCGTCACACAAGGGTTTCCCAGGAGCTATACCCTCACAATGCAGTCAAGAAGAGCACATCTTGTCTGACGTGTCTGCCCGGTCTGTTGACTCCAAGCCGAGGTCAAGAATGACTCAGCGACCAGCCGATTGGCTCAAATGGAATCTGATTTGAGCCTCCCGTTTATCCGAAGCAGGGGCCAAAGCAGTGTGTTGGGAACAGTATGTTGCCCCTCAACTACCAGGATCCCCCTTTCTGGCATACGAGATACCACGCACGGCAAACACGTGGGTGGGCGTTCAGATCCCAGGGATAATAAAGAAGAGTTACTAAACCAACTCTGGTGTGGTGAGGGGACCTCCCAGAGTGGGAGGTCCCCTCACCACGGACAGGAACCCACATCGAGGGGGGATGCATTAAGAAATCTCATGCAAAATATGTAATTCAGAAGCATACTTTCCCAATTCACGACAGTATTTTTGAAAGATTATGGAGAAATTTTCCAACAACGGCACAAAATGAGCTAAGATATGATTTTTTGCACGAATACGGCAACATAGCACTAGTTCCTCGTCCAACATACCAAAAATCTTGTATTTCTCATAAAGTAGAAGAAATCATGTACGAAGATTACGTGGGAAATGGATTTTCAAAGCCATGGATGACTTCTCTTTATGCTCCCGATTGTGATGACTTATTGAAGAAAACAATCGAAAAAATATGGCGTGAAATTCTTCGTAGATGTCGACTTTTAGATGCAGGTAGGACTGGTCATATTTCTGCAAATTGTCTCAAAGAAGTTTTAGGTCAGTGTGGCATACCTGTTAATAATAAAAGTATGGCAGGCATTCTTGAAATTAAATATGGATTTACAAGACAAAACATAACAAATTACTGGAATTTTCTAAGAAAATGCGTTAGTTCTTTTCAAGATGAAGATTACGATACGAAACTTGAAACAGGTGACATATTTGATAATAAAGGACGTTTTGCACCTTATAAGATACTTCTTGCAATAAGAGGACAGGTATTGCATTATTGGAGATGACTTAGAGAAAGATCCCGATGGCACAGGTTTTATTGATGGCTGCGATTTTCGAAAAATCCTCCACGATTATAGTATTTATTTCAGCGATGAAGAATTTTTTAAAATTCTAAGATATTTTGATCCACATTCAACAGGAAAAGTGCCCTATAGCAGCTTTCTGCAAACATATGCCAATCCCATTCTTTATTAAAAATTAACCTAGGAATCTACAAATTTTGCATTGTAAATTTATTATTATAAACTCTTTCGTGGAAAAATTAATTTAAATTTTAAATTAGAAACATAAATTTTGTATAATTTAAGAACTAGTTTTTCTAAATAAATCGATATTTTCAAAATTATTATTGTTGTAATGTAATTTACTTTTATCCACTACTTTAGGCAAGATAAAGATTTTAGAAAATTAGTGTTTTTTTCTTAAAATTTATAAAATGACAAAAAAAGAAACTTCCATTATTTAATTATAGGTATCCTTTGATTAACATGGTTAATTAACCAAGGATTTCTCCCACACCTGGTCATATAAAATCAAGCCAGGATACGCCACAGTATGGGATTTTAGATCATTATACCCCTCGATAAAAATACAACCTTGTTTTTGTGCACTGAGAGATTTCCTCATAGAAAAAGTAAATGATACTAACCTGCACCAAGACATACTGGAATTGGCCCATTTAGCCTGCTACAGTTCGGTAATCCAGTTCAAAGGAAAAACACATGCACAGGAGAGAGGAGTGCCCATGGGAAGTCCATTATTTGAGGACTTGTGCGAAATGGTAATAAGGGCATTAGAAACCAAAACCCTACCACCCTTTCTCTCAAACATAATCATGTATGGTAGGTATATAGATGACATTATAATTCTCTGGAAAACACCACTGGACTTAAGACAATTTAAGACAGCCATGAACAACAACCCTTATGGCCTTTATTTGGAATTGGAGCAGCATAGTGAAGAAAAAATCCACTACTTAGATATAGAAATTGAAATTAAAGAAAGAGCAATACAAACAAAAGTTTATAGAAAACCAACAACTATACCATCGTACATACCCATCAATTCCTGTGACCCGTACTCTTACAAAATAGCGGCATTCAGGAGTTTGGTAGAAAGGGCCTATTCCCACTCTTCCACAACCTACGCTCTACAACAAGAATTAGCGTATATTAGAGAAATCGCTAAAGACCACGGTTATGGCAACATAATACACAAATTATGTAATCAGCGCCTTCACATAAACAGTAAAACGGATGAAGAAAAGGAATCAGGAACAGGTGATAAAGAACATATGGAAAGTGTCCCGGTAACGTACAACCCGCAAATGAAAATGATATATAATTCAATTGCAAAGAAAAAAGGAATTAGAATTACATACAGAAGAAACCCTTCCATATATAATTTATTAAGGAACGGAAAAGACGCCCATAACCCGAACAGACTACCGGGAATATACACCATTCCCTTAATAGACGACAGATGGCAGAGGCAACTAATTTACATAGGATCTACTAAACGTCCGTTAGCCACTAGAATAAAGGAACATAAAGCAGATATCACCCACAACAAATATACAACAGCAATGTCTACATATGCAACAAACCCGGAAATAACCTTGATTTTTAATGAGGCACGAATCATCCACACCACTCGTCATCAGGAACATCTAAGAACCTTGGAAGCGATGGAAATCTACAAAGCAGATTGCAAATCAACCTGCATCAATCTTAAAGAAGAAATGAATCTTTCAACAGCATGGCAGTATCTATTGGATGATGAATCGTAATTTATTATACGATACACGAGATTATTATGGGATACGCACATTGTATCGCTACTAGTTAAAATTATTTTTAGAAACGGCACGTGATTAGTTAACATCGTATCGCTACTAGTTAAAATTATATTTTTAGACACGGCATGTGATTATAAGATACACAAGATTATTATGAGATGCACACAACATATCTCCACGAACATAAATTATAAAGAAATTATAATTTGAAAGGCATGTGATTACCTTCCTTTTTTTGAAATTCTAGTAACTGAGCACGTTCTTATTTAAAAACATTCGATTAAAGAATCCAGTACAATAAATTTGGCCTGAAGAAGAGCCCAGGAGGGGCATCAAAAGCATTCGCCAATCTTTGTTTGGAGTTTTCACACCGGATATTGGTTTAGAAGTATGCATATGTGTTACAAATGTATTACAAATATATTTGTAGTCCAATGAAAAATAAAGGATAATTTGCTAACCAGAAATTGCTGTAAGATACGTCTACCAAAGTGTGTTTTTGGATTACAGAGACGAATTTACNAAATGTATCCCAAATATATTTGTAGTCCAATGAAAAATAAAGGATAATTTGCTAACCAGAAATTGCTGTAAGATACGTCTACCAAAGTGTGTTTTTGGATTACAGAGACGAATTTACATTTGTAATATAATATACAGCAAGCCGTTTATATATTTACAAATAAGAAAATAGAAATGGACAACAGGTTAGCTAATCTAACAAAGAAGGCAGAAATGTTGGAGCATGATATGAATTACCTAAGATGTTTTCTTAGAGAGAAACATACACCAAATACCATGAAATTGAAAAAATCCATAAGAGACATTATACCAAAACATGCTATCTGGAAAATAGAACGTAAGATCATAAAATCTGTTATTAGATTTAAATATAAGAAATGGAATAATTTAAAATATCAAATAC